GCTCCAGCAAAAGATCTTTAAAAGCAGGGAGATGAATGTCAATATCTATAGATTTCATAACATCTTCAATTCTTGTCATACTAACAGGAACATTGTTGTTGTTGTTGTTGTTAAGTGCCGTCGAGTCGGTTCCCACCCATAGTGACCCTGTACAGGGTTTCCGAGGGTGTAAATCTTTACGGGAGTAGAAAGCCTCATCTTTCTCCCGCGGAGCAGCTGGTAGTTTCGAACCGCTGATCTTAAGGTTCGCAGCCCGATTCGTAACCACTACGCTACCAGAACATTAGGTAGATAATATTGGTGCATTTTTACACTGTTGGTTAACATCGGTATTGTTTCATCTATTTCTTCAGGACAACATGCAAGTTAGTGTCAAACACACACATACACTCCATTTCCTTGTTATTATTGGGATGTGAACATCATCCACCACCCTCTAGAATTTTCCAGGAGGCAAAGCCAAACGATCTGAGTCGTGATTGCTATTTCTTCCCTTAGCAGGCAATCCAAATGTGATTGGGTAGATTTTTAAGAGTACAGTTCTAAAGACACCTAAGGCTTTTTAGGGAGATGTTATATTTTTAATCAAGTAAGCATTTAATTACTAACATGCCATCCACCTCCGGACCTCCCACTAAACCTGCTTGTGAATTTCTCATGGCTTCCTGAGAACAAAGAGCAATGATTTGCCTCTTTAAAGTACTGATTATCAGGGTTGACAAACTCTCTCCCTAGAAGTTCCCACTGGTAGATATGCTGTTATGTTATTTTTTATTTCCCCTGAGCTACAGTAGTTTCTGGGTTTGATAAAGTCAGATTTCGGGACACTCTGCCTTATATTTGAAGGTATGTGATGCTGTGGGATAAGCACTGACCACAAGGTCGCTTTGAACCACATGGTGGGCAGTTCAAACTCACCAGCTGCTCGTCAGAAACCCTATACAAGGTCGATATGTGTAGAAACTGACTTGAGGGCACTTAACAGCAGGAAGATGGAGTCAACGAGGAATGAAGTAAATTACCCTCTTCTTTTCTCCCTCTCTCCCTCCTTCCTCTCTGTTTACCTGTCTGCCTTCTTTTTGCCCTCTTTCCTCTTTCTCCTTCCTTTCCCTCTTCCACCTAACTTATAGTTCTGATAGCTGCAGGAAACTCTCGTAGCTTGTACTGGCAAATGAAGTTGAATCCCAGAAATAACATTTACCTCTGGTAGTGTAGTGCTTACAAATCGGGCTGCGAATCTCAAGGTCAGCAGTTTGAAACTACCAGCTGCTCCGCAGGAGAAAGATGAGGCGTTCTGCTCCCGTAAAGATTAACAGCCTCGGAAACCCTGTGCAGGGTCGCAATGAGTTGGAACTGATTCCATGGTACATAACAACAACAACAGTGCACACTGGACTGATAACCACAAGACAAGCAGTCTGAATCTACCAGAGATTCTGGAGAGAAACATGAGGCTTTCTGTTCCTGTAAAGATTTATGGTCTTAGAAACCCTGTACAGGGCCACAATGAGTCAGAACTGACTCTATGGCACATAAGCACCATCACCGTATAATAGAAAATTACTGGGCTGAGACGAATGAATACCATACCTGGATTCTTTTCTTTGTTTTGCAGCCAACTAACAAACAGTAAGTGACTCTCGGGACGTTAATTTCCCTTTCTGTAAAATGGGCAGATGATGACTGGTGGTACTATCAATCAACCCCACAAATTCTAGGGATTAGGCTCATAAAATAAATGAACGAAGCGGGCTGGGAAGGGCCTGAGCTAAACTGGAGAGCCATGGTTCTGCTAGTGGCAGCGGTCTTCACCTTAGTAGATTTCGTCTTCACCTTAGTAGATTTTGTCTTCACTTTAGTAGATTTTGTTTTCAATGCTTTGTGGAATATGGAGTCCTCATGTGGTGCTGTAGGATCAGCACTGGACTGCTGACCATAGGTCAGCATTTTAAACCCACCAGCTGCTCCTTGGAAACCCAGGATCATTATGAGTCGGAACCGAGAAACCCAGAAGTCCAGATTTCCTTGTGAAATCTCTTAATTTGCCTGGAAGCTAGGAATGAATAGCAATGGGCTCAGCCAAATATGTGCGTAAGCCAGCTAGAGGGCCAGGACCGAAACACTGCAGCCAGTGGGCAGAATTTTGCCCATGATCATTCCATGACTACACTCCTTACTTAGTGCAGGTGTTCAAATAAACTCCAAAATACCCAGCTTCTTTACTCTTAGCTAAAACAATCCCCAATGGCCAAAGTCGTAACTAGATTTAGCTGTTGTTGTTAAGAACCATCGAATCAGTTCTGACCCACAGAGACCCTGTATAGGGTTGCCGAGGAGCAGCTGGAAGAATGTGTTAATTCACTTTATTCTAGAATGTTGAGGGGTTCCCTTCATCATGGGACTCAGTGATATACATAGGAAATCGAATAAATGCTTTCATACTTCACCATACATTGCTACTATACAATTGGTTAATTAGATAGAATTTTAACGATTACCTTAATGGGAACACAGGAAGCGAAGGCAGTCTACTAACCTGACTAGTTAACATAGTGTGGGGAGGGTATTGAAAACATTCTCAACATTTGACTCTTAGCTGGAGATGTCTATAGCTGTTTCACTTTCATAGTCAGCTTAGCAAGCCTGCTGATGTTCATCCGCTTTATTGATTGTAGATGGTCAATATTTTTCTTTTACATATAATTTCTCACAAACCCAATCTAAATATCTGCAGACTCATCCATCAAGCCGTTGAGGAGACAGCATATGGCACAAGTGTACACAATGCTGTGCTTGGGAGTCTGTCCCTCTCACACCTGATTGGAGACTACCATGTAACCCATAACCCATCACCAACTGTGTATTTTCAGTTTTGCTGTACAAATGAGGTAGCAGACACATTCCTAAGCCATCATGGAAGGGGTGGGGTGGGGTGGGTGGCTTACACACTCTTCTTTGATATTTTCCAGAAATTTTAGGCTTTCTTGGAAAAAGCTGCGCTTTTATGTTCAGTAGCTTCTGCTACAGTGGTTCTCAAACTTTATTATATCATTGTTGTTAAGTGTCGTTGAGTTGGTTCCAACTCACAGTGACTCCATGTGTGTGTATAAGGTTTCAGAGGAGCGGCTGGTGGGTTTGAATTGCCAACTTTGCAGTTAGTAGTCCAGTGCTTATCCTATAGCATCACACCAGGTATATCACGGAGCAGTCAAATTTCAAAGCACAATTTCAGCAGCTAACAATTTTCTTAAAAATCACTGATAGAGAAATGAAAATTCAACACAGAACAAGAAGCAGATGAAGGAAAAAGACAATCCAAAATCCAGATACTACCCAT